ATAAATCTAGTCACCAACCAGTAGTATTCTTGTGGGGGCTATCAAGGCATCCATAAATGGAATGCAGATTTTTCCACTGATGTCTACTGTTTGGTGAAATGACGTCCAGGAAGCAGAATCAGTTCTAGGATTCACATGCAAGTGGCTTGAGAGGAGTGGGAAAAAAGATGGAGTGTTCTGGGCTTGGTATCAACTAGGTACAAATGGAGCCTAAAACTAGGGCTGCTTCTTGAGTCGCTGTGTGCACCCTTGTGTGGGCAGGCATCTGCGGGAAGTTGAGAGCACAGCTATCACAGGGATGGTTGGAGTGGCCTTTCTTTCCCTCTACAGAAGGAAACGTACACAGGAACTAAAACAGACTTGGCCTAGTCTGACCTGGGCAAACTGAAATTCTACAGGGTGGATAGATGCGCAATAACCTAGCAGGGACCAGGGTGCCAGTTAAATTCCCTGATGGAGCCCACAAGGCAGGACCATCTATCTGTCTATGGCCGCCAGGGAGATTTTCTCTGAAATGGGCATTCTGCAAGAGAAGGCATCACAGGAAGAGGTCACACCTGGGTCAGTGTGGCTGGAGACCTGATCCTTCTTCAAACCTGGTGCCAGGGGCTGGGTGTGGAGTGTGGCTGTGTGTGGCATAGCCTCATGTGGAGGCATAAGCTGTCTCAGCCTCTTGGAGGCAAACCAGCAGCCAAGCAGAGGGGTAGCCCCCTTAAGTATCTGTGGGACTGAAGGGGTTGTTTTGTTCCTGGCCTGGTCATGGAAGGCTCCAGTCATCAGAATTAGGTACTAAAATTGGGCCCAAATGCCAATTCACTGACTGGGGAGCCCTGGACTAGGACTTTTCCTGCCCATAAACCATTTCCATACGTAAGTACAGACTACAAACCTAAGAGGTCAAAGGGCCCAGGGGCACCGATCCTTCTCAGCACAGCAGGAACGAATTCCTCCTTCAGGACTTACATCATAGAGGGGATTCCTTTTTTCCTGCACTGTCTTCTCTGAAAATGCCTTGAGACTGTATCTACCCATGTGTGCTCTCTCTCTTACAGAGCAAACTTGTAACATTATGCCATTTTTCATTATGCCATACATAATTGCATATGCATTAAAATAAGCACATTTTCTAACATAACTATTTGCCATTGTCACCTCTAACAAAATGATCTGTAATCTCTTGTTAGCTTCTAATATCCAGTCTATATTCAAATGTCCCTATTTTTTTTTTTTTTTTTTTGTGTGTGTGTGTATACTGCAGACTGAAACCCGTATGTATCTATACATACTCGGCAAGTGCTCTACAACTGAGCTACATCCTCAGCCCTTCCTGTCCTGTCCTCTCCCCTCCTGCTATCCCTTCTCTCCTCTCCCATTCTTCCCTCTCCCCTCCTCTCTTCTCTTCTGCTCTTCTCTTTTTTTGACACAGGATCGCTTTAAGTTGTCCATGCTGGCCTTGAGCTGGCGTCCTCTTGCCTCAGCCTCCACAGTAGCTAGGGTTACAGTGTGCCCTACCATGTATGCTTAATGTGCACTTATTAACTTTACCTTCACATAAACAGGAACTCTTCCTATTTTTAAAAATAGTGATAAAGCAAGCTCTTAATGTTAGGTGGCTTTGATGGCAGACTTGTTTTCTACCTGCTAATTTTGTAATAGCTGAGTAGGAGTATGGATTATTACTTTTGAATTTCAGTTTTGACTTTGTCTCTAATTTACATGTACCTGGGGGACTCGTTCTATCTTTCTCTACTTCCCACACACTTCCTTTGACCTAATAAAGTATCAGTTAGGCTATTGACCTGCTAGATTTATGAAGGCTTTGGCAATGTGAAAACTGCCCTTGCTATGTATTTTCCATGCCATCTTGTGCAGGGCTTGGCAAAGGACCCACATTCCAGAGCAAAGGTAGTCCTGAGCAGAGAGGGCCAACGAGCAGAGCCAGGAGGAGGGCAGGAGGGCCTGAGGAGCCTAGGGAGGGGTTTGTCCCACATTCTGCTCTATTTCTTAAATAAAAGAAAGAAGAAAATACAAAAAAAGGACAAAGATGCAAACACAAATGACATGTATTTACTTTGAACATGTAAAGAAAGTACAGCCAATCATGTTTTCTTATATTCAGAATGAGTCCCTTGTTAGCCTTTGGCTTTCCATCCAACTTTTAAAATATACACAGATTTGAATAAAATCTGGATTTACAAATGTATAATCTGTTTTAGTGTCGTGTAATCTGTTTTACTCTACTTTATCCCACATTAAAAGATTTGTACATATCATTAAATATGTATCCAAACTAAGATTTTAATAAGTTCCATAGCACAACTTATGGGTATGCCACCCATTTAGATTACTCATGATTTATTATCACTACTAAAATGCTACTATGAAAATACTTATACCCAAATCCTGACATATCTCTTTGGCTATTTATTTATGATTAATGTCAATTACAAATAGCGGGTGGAAATATCAGAACATGTTCCAAACTGCCTTCCATAAAGTCTGTTCCAATTCATATGGTAACGAATTGTACAAATGCACCCTGTCCCACATCCTTGCCAACACTAGCATTGTTACTTTTTCCCTTTAACCTGACAATTTTAGACACAAATACAGCATCACTGTCCCCCCTCTGCCTTTTGTTCATGTCTCTAGAATCCAAGAGAACTGGTAGTGGCTTTGCTCCCTCTAGCTTCTAACTAGCTGCTGCAATTTGGTGAAGGAAAGGTAGACTACTGGACCTGCACAGCTTGGAAAAACAGCTGGGCTGGGCCAGTGGAAAGCTCAGAGTTGTAAATTATTTCCATAGATGATCTGGAAGGCTGAGTTACATGCAAAACACCTAGACTGCAAATAATTCACTAGTCACTGACTGCCAAGAATGGTGCATGTTTTCAAAAGTGTAATATAAGCCAGTATTTTGACACATGTATTTTTTTTAACCTTTTATTCTAAAACTTGGCTTAATACCTGAGTTTTGGGTTTGCTGTCTAATTTGGACCATTTTCTGTACTTTCCCCATAGACACAACACGGTGTCACTCATCAGGGGACTTATGAGTATTGCACAGTTACATGCAAAATACTTTATATGTGTACTGTTGTGACTGTTTTGGGGGGAGAGAATTTAAAGCTTTCATCTTGTTCTGAAGGAGTCCAAGAAAAAAATCAAGGCTCTCTGATATAGCAAAACAAGTCAGGCACTATAACTTCAGTATATACTGGGGTCAAAGGCGGGAGTGTGTAGAGCTAAAGCGTCTTCAGGAACATTCTTCCAACTGAAGAGAACAGCTACCTCTCAGCTGTAGGTCCCTGGAGAAAGTGCATGGGAACACGGGTCCAGTGCCCCTAGATCTTAATGTTTTTCAGAGAAATCTAGAAATCCATCAAATTTCAAGTGCTTATGACAATTTAAAGCTAAAAAGATAAATACTATATGGCACAAACGAGTTTAATGCTTTGTCCCTCAGCTGCTAAGCTTCAAAGAAACCAGACTTTTCAAAATTTGGCTGAACACATAAAAACAATTAAGTATTCTCCTTAGGTTTCTATAAGCCAAGAACACTAAGACTATTTAAAAATAATGTTTCCAGGCTGGAGGTATAGTTTAGTGCCAGAGTACTTATCTAGCATGTACAAGGCCCTGGGTCTAATTTTTTCAGCCCTACCAAAAACAACAGTAGCAGCAGCAGCAACAACAACAACAACAACAACAACAACAACAACAACAAAAAGGGCCAGCCAAAATAGCTCAGTGGATTAAAGCGCCTGCAGGCAGGTGCAGGGGCTGGGGGTT